AAAGAGTGAAGGTTTTGATGAAACTTTGTAAATATAGATGGCAAAAAGCATCTGTTGAACCTAAATTATGACTAAAATTATTATTATAGGCATATAAAATAATATATTATGTTTGATGTAATAAACAATAGTCTCTAGAGCTTTTGTTTCATCCCCTTTTGACTTCATCACAGAATAAATGTGTGATTTGACCTCTTTGGTGGTAGAAGTATTCATCTGGAGCTCATCCAACTGAGAACTTGGCTATAAATCAAGTGAAACTCCTCACTATCAGTCCTCATTGCTAATGGCCATGCTTATTCACGTGTGTAGATTATTCATTATTATGCTCTATGAGTCATATTCAGCGTCAAGAGCATGGCACATCAATATCACTTTCTGTTTCTTATCCATGTGTGTATGTAGTATCTATGCTCAAATATTACCAACCGTACGGTAATAATAATAAAATAAAAATAACAATAAAAATAAAACAAAATAAATAAATAAATATATATAAATCTACATATATAAACAATAATAATAGTAAGATCAATAATAACAACAGAAATGGGTAACAATAATAACAATAATAATAACATAACATGAAAACAAATAAATGCAAGAATAAACAAATAAATAGGTAAAAATAACCACTAAAGAAATAAATAAATACAAGATACTAATAATAATAAAGATAAATACCTGCAATAACCGGGAAAATAAATGTAATAATAACAGTAAATATAAACGGTGAGAATAAGTATAGCTCTAAAATCAAAACAATAAAACAGCAGCGGTCAGCCAAAAAGGCAGCAAGGGCAGTAACTCCCTCATACCCCAAACATAGCGTGGTCTAATATGGGGGAAGCATGAGAGCCTACCTTACTAACGAGGCCAACTCGTGAACACGCTAACAATATTAATCACAAAACAACGTAAATGCCTATGCTTACTGTACAAGCAAACTGTACCAATGAATTAACAATAAAACAGCTAAGAAGAATAATAATATTGTACCTTTATGGGAACACTCAACAATAAAAATCCTATAATAGCAACCACAGTAAAAACTAACAGCCACCCCACAGCAACGACCTAGTCAAGATGCAGCCAAGGCTAATTGCAACTGAGGGGATAACAGCAATAAAACCATAAGATGCCAAACAGTAGCACCTAAAACTATAGCAATGGAAACAAACATCAACCAAGTGGAGAGTGCAAGAAGGACAAATTAGCAGAATCACACATGAAGGCTATCTAGCTAACGAACGACTCCCCCAAGAAAAACCATCTGCC